AAGGACAAGGTAAGTGAAGAAGATATCCCAGAGCAGCGCTGCAAGGTATTCCCGAGTGTAGCTCGGGGTTACCACTTGTCATATCGGTGCAGTTCCGACTTGGAGCCGCACCAATATCTAAAGTAGTACATGCACTACTTTTGGTGCAATTTGCATAGAAATCTGTGTCAGATGTCTTGCAAATCGCACCTGAAATCAGCATCTCACCCAACTTTGAAATTGTGCGACTTCACTGTAAGTTGCATGATTGCAAGATCGGGCTTGACTGGGGGGGTTAAATTAAAAGTCAGCAACTACAACCTGTGGCCCTCGACCTCTTCTGGTGAAATTATGTAGGCAATCTGACCGCAAGTGGGAATAAATACCTACCAGGAGGTATTCCTGGAGGCTGGCATCTTCAGTGTGGGCACCCGGCTGTGAGAGCTTGTGGCTTCACAGCCGAATACCCACTGTGCATGCGCGAGTAGCACTACGCTTCCTGAATGGTCCTGTAGTCTTCTGGGACCTGTCATGTGTTCCAAAAGACTACAGGAAGGGAGGACATGCTCCATTTCTGATCGCCTAGGCCAGGGGTAGGCAACCTGCGGCTCTCCAACTGTTGCAGGACTACAAGTTCCATCATGTCTCTGCAAGTCATAGCTGTAACTGTCAGTTTTGTAATGTTGCAATGCCTCATGGGAAATGTAGTTCCACAACAACTAGAGAGCAGCAGGTTGCCTACCCCTGGCCTATGCAATCGGAAGGGATGTGGGAGCGGGTACCTGTGAAATTTGCGTACCCGCTCCCCCCACCCTCCAAAGGTGCCAATCCTTAATGGGGAGCAGTCCTTAAAGCGGAAATTCCCCTTTTGGGTGGAGCTCCGTTTTAATGCATTCCCTGCATTAAGTTAGAAAAAGTCCCAGTATTTGTATCGCCTCCATCTTTATTTATTTCAGGTACTTATATAGCACCGTCAATTTATGCAGTGCTTTACATATATATTATACATTCACATCAGTCCCTAACCCTCAAGGGGTGTACAATCTAAGGTCCATAACTCACATTCATACATACTAGGGCCAATTTAGACAGGATCCAATTCACCTACCAGCATGTCTTTGGAGTGTGCGAGGAAACCGGAGGAAACCCACGCACGCACAGGGAGAACATGCAAACTCCAGGCAGGTGGTGCTGTGGTTGGGATCTTAAAATATTTACCTGAGTCCTCATATGATCCAGCATTGTGCCCGTCTGTAGCTGCTCTCCCTGCCTTCACAGGCCAGAGACAATGGTCCTGCTGCTGTCAACCAAACCCTGTGCGGCCAGGTCGAGCTGCACTGTGCATGTCAATGGCTGCACAGAGCCTGGCTTGGGAAGGAACCCACACATGTGCCATCGTAGGAAGTGTATTCCTATGGTGGCACACAAAGAGGTGCTAAGAGCACTGGTGAGGGACCCCAGAAGAGGAGGTTTGGGGCCACTCTGCAATACCATTGCACAGAGCAGGTAAGCATAACGTTATTTAAGAAAAAATACAACTGCCTGAACTCAACCTCCCACCCTCCTTTCCTGCTCACCCCTGCTTATAGGTATAATATACACTGATCAAAAAATTAAAGGAACACTTTTTAATCAGAGTATAGCATCAAGTAAATTAAACTCCTGGGATATTGATCTGGTCAGTTAAGTAGCAGAGGGGGTTGTTAATCAGTTTCTGCTGCTTTGGTGTTAATGAAATTACTAACAGGTGCACTAGATGGGCAACAATGAGACAACCCCCAAAACGAATAGTTTTATAGGTGGAGGCCATTGACATTTTTTTCCCCTACTCATCTTTTCTATTTTTCACTAGTTTTGCATTTGGCTAGGGTGAGTGTCACTACTGGTAGCATGAGGCGATACCTGGACCCTACAGAGGTTGCACAGGCAGTCCAGCTCCTCCAGGATGGCACATCAATATGTGCCATTGTCAAAAGGATTGCAGTGTGTCCCAGCACAGTCTCAAGAGCATGGAGGAGATTCCAGGAGACAGGCAGTGACTCTAGGAGAACTAGACAGGGCCGTAGAAGGTCCTTAACCCATCAGCAGCGCCGGTATCTTCTCCATTGTGCAAGGAAGAACAGGATGAGCACCTCCAGAGCCCTACAAAATGACCATCAGCAGGCCACTGGTGTGAATGTCTCTGACCAAACAATCAGAAACAGACTTCATGAGGGTGACCTGAGGGCCCAATGTCCTCTAGTGGGCCCTGTGCTCATAGCCCGGGACCATATTGCTCTATTGGCAATTACTATTGAACACCAGAATTGTCATGTCTGCCGTTGGTGCCCTGTGCTTTTCACAGATGAGAGCAGATTAACCATGAGTTCATGTGACAGGCGTGAAATTGTGTGGAGAACATTATCCTGCCTGTAACATCGTTCAGCATGACCATTTTGGGTGGTGGGCCAGTAATGGTCCGGGGAGGCATATCCAAGGAGGGATGAGCATACGTCTACAGGCTAGACAATGCCACCCTGACCATTAGGTATTGAGATTAAATCCTTGGACCTATTGTCAGACCCTACACTCATGCAGTGGGTCCTGGATTCCTCCTAATGCACGACAATGCCCGGCCTCATGTGGCCAGAGTATGCAGGCAGTTCCTGAAGAATGAAGGAATTGATACCAATGAATGGCCTCCATGCTCACCTGACACAAATCCAATAGAACACCTCTGGGATATCATGTTTCGGTCCATCTGATGCCACCAGGTTGCACCTCAGACTGTCCATGAGCTCAGTGATGCCCTGGTCCAGATCTGGCAGGAAATTCCCCAGGGCACCATCCATCATCTCATTAGGAGCATGCCCCAGCATCAGACTTGCATACAAGCACGTGGTGACCAAACAAACTACTGAGTACCATTTTGAGTTGTTGCAATGAAATTTCAGCAAAATGAACTAGCGTGCTGCATAATTTTTTCACTTTGATTTTTGGGGTGTCTTTGAATTCAGTCCTCTGTAGGTTGATAATTTGCATTTTCATCAAACGATGGGGCATCCTTACTTTCCTAATACATTACCCAGAACATATCAGTACAGATATCCAGTATGAGATTTTTCCCCATTGAAATCTGATGTGTTTTCAAAGTCTTTCTTTAATTTTTTCAGCAAGACATCTTGCTCTCTAGCTCCCTCATCACCTCCTCCCATGCTCGCCTCTTCTTTTCACAACTTTCTCACAACTTTTCCAGAGCCTCTCTAATCCCCTGGGCTCCCTATCCCAGTATGTCCGGTCAGTCCCCCAACCCTTTCTGCCTCTAGGTGATCTTTGAAAACTCACCTATTAAGGGAGGCCTACCCCAACTCCACCTAAGAACTGTACTTGAGCCACCTCCATCAGATCATCTGCAGCTAGCACCTTTTGTACCACCTACCCCTTCATTTAGATTGTAAGCTCCATGAGCAGGGCCCTCCTATTCCCTCTGTACTGAAATGTATTGTAACTGTACTGTCTCCCTTTATATTGTAAAGTGCTGCGCAAACTGTTGGCGCTATATAAATCCTGTATAATAATAATATACTCGCCTGCCCAGTGGTTCAAGCATTCTACTGCAGCAATCCACTGTTGGGATGTTGCTCCTTGTGTCCCTCACCACCAAATTGGTTCTCTTCAGCTGGCTGTTTCTTCCAGTTTCAGACAGACGACCCCAAGCCATTCTGTGGATGGGTTCCTGCAGCCTTCTGGGATATGTGGCAGGGATATTATAGATTTATGATAGGTATGCTTAGATTTAATGGCTTGTGGATCTTGGAGTATGTAGAAGCCCCAATATCAGGCTTATACAGAATCGCACTGAAAAATTCTGAATGTGTGTAGGTTGGCATTGTTTTAATGAGACTTTTTAATTGAGTAAAAAGCTGAGCGGAATGTATGGCAGCCTGTCTGGTACACCAGACAGGCCACCATACATAGCCAGGCCATCAGATAGCACCGATTATGCTCTGCCCCAGAAGACATCAGAATCTCAGAATACTAGCAGAGTTCTTCCATAAGAAGGGTTACAAGGACAAAACCATCAATACAAGCATGAACAAGGCCCTAAAAACCCAAAGAGAAAATCTCTTACAATACAAAACAAAAACCAACCGTGTGCCTCTAGTAACTACATACAATCCAGCACTAGATGGGGTAAGAAAGATAACTAGAGAATTGCAACTCATTATACAGAGGATGAAACACAATGTAAAATTCTAACATCCTCCAATACTGGCTTTCAGGCAACCGCCCAACCTCAGATATAAACTAATCAGCAGGAAACTTCCTTCTGATTATGAAATTGCAAATAAAGAAACCAAGCCTACTAACAAAAAAATGCTGCAAACCGTACAGCCAAATCGTTACATCGAGGGCCGGTTCACATCATAGAAACTCAGTCTGGATGCATTTCTGAAGGCGAGTTTTTGGCACATTCTGCTTAATTTTTTCCCCTTTTTTTCTTCAACTTTAAGGATGTGCTATTTTGGTGGGTTCCGGTCTATTGATGCATTTTACTGCGTTCCAGTACAGTTCTGTGCAGAAAAAATGCAGCATGTTCTTTTTCTATCTGGAACACACTGGTGTGAACTATGCCATGGAAACCAAACAACCTACTATCAATGTGTTTTTATGTAGGAAAAAAATTCACTGGACTGCATATGATATGAACTGGCCTTTAGTGTCACATACACACAAAAGGGACCTTCAGCATTACAGGACCATACAGCGGTACCTCCAGTAATGTGTATTTCATTCAATGCAACCAAGGATCTTAGGATGGTGAAACAAGACATAAATTAGAAACAAGAATGACTTTTGAATTTACACAGACACACCATTAACCGCTTTCCCGCCACCTTATAGTAGAACTACTCCTACAGGGCAGCAAGGCTGTGCAAAATCATGTATATATACATGTGATGATTTGCATTTCTGGGTAGGGGGTGCGCGCTTCCCTACCTGTGCTGCCATTGACTGCTACGAATGTAAATTACTGGGATCCGGCCAGAGATTCCCCGCCGACACCCGTTGATTGTTGGGCAAAGCTGACGGGAGAAACCAGTGTGTAAACAACACAGGTCTCTCTCCTGCCAGCAAGGACATGCTGCTTTGTATTTCTCTGTACAGCAGATAAATTCAAAGCAGCATGTCTCCCTAGTAAAACACACAGCACATAATGTAAAACAGCACACAGTTAACCCTTTGATCGTCCCAGATGTTAACCCCTTCCTGCCCAGTGTCATTAGTACACTGTCAGTGCTTTTTATTAGCTTGTTATTAGTGTCATTAAGATGTCAGTAGCAGTTAGTCAGTTCCCACCCAGTGTCAGAATGCCTGCCGCAGTCCCGCTATAAGTAGCTGATCACCGCCGTTACTAGTATAATAAAAATTAAAATCCCAGTATATATACCGCCATTTGTAGGTGCTATAACTTTCACGTAACCAATTAATTTACATGCATTGAGATCTTTTTTTAGCAAAGACGTAGCAGAATACATTTTGGCCTAAAGTTATGAAGAAATTAGATTTTTTAAATTTTTTTTACTGGATATGTTTTATAGTAAAAAGTCAAAAATATTGGGGTGTTTTTTTTTTTTTCAAAATTACCGGTCTTTTTTGTTTTTAATGGAAAAAAGTGAAACTGCAGAGGTGATCAAATACTACCAAAAGAAAGCTCTATTTATGGGAAAGAAAGGACATACATTTCATTTATGGACAGCATTGCATGACCACGCAATTGTCAGTTAAGTAACGCAGGGCCGTATCACAAAAAATGGTCTGGTCAGGAAGGAGGTAAATCCTTTGCCGCCCTGTAGCAGTAGTTCTACTATAGGACACTGGGAAAGCGGTTAAAGGGAATATCAAAACTACTCAGGAAATGAAGACTTTTGAACTAAGGCTGGGCATACTTGAGTTAAATTTTTTTTTCATTCATCCAGTAGTTTAAACAAAGATAATGACTCGATTCCCCCATCCACACATTCGAGGTAGATGGGGCAATCATCCCACTGAGCTATTCTGATCTTGCAGCAGGGAAATTCCCTGCCATCAGAATACACCGATCAGCACCGCCAGCTATAGCTGGTGTCACAGATCGAGATAAAAATTTTCTAACTAACTGGTTGTACAGAGTACATCAAGTTGTGTACAACCAGCCTACCATTAGATCGAAATCTGGCAGGGTTAAAAATTACAGTTCTACTTGGTACAACAGATAATGGAATAATGCAGTTTTCTAAATCACTATCCAGTAGTTTAATGGTCAATTTCACTTCTTTGACTCTTCCCTCCTCCCAGTCCATAGCCCTGTCCCTGCCTTGTCTCATTAACTATCCAAGTTAATTTATCATCGCTATGTATGTTTGTAGCCCCCCGGATATTGTCCTATTAAAATTCTGCTAAAACTCTGTGTATTAGTACTTTGTGTATCAAGGTACACCCTGCAAGCTGGTCCTGAAAACTTGGATGTTATTGCAAATAACCCCCCCCCCCCCTCCATCATTCGCTCCCTCACCCACATCTTCAATCTCTCCCTCTCCACTGGCACCTTCCCCTCCCCTCTAAAGCACGCACACATCAACCCCATACTCAAAAAACCCTCCCTTGACCCCACTAACCTTAACAACCTTAGACCCATCTCCCTGCTGCCTTTCACTTCCAAGCTCCTTGAGCGCCTGGCCTTCAATCGCCTAAGCGCCCCACCTCACTGATAACAACCTCCTTGACCCCCTACAGTCTGGCTTCTATCCCCTGCACTCCACCGAAACCGCCCTACTTAAAATCACCAACGACCTGCTAAATGCCAAAGCCAATGGCCACTATTCTATCCTCCTGCTCCTTGACCTCTACGCGGCCTTCGACACTGTTGACCACCCTCTCCTCCTTGCCAAATTGCACTCACTTGGCATCAGGGATGCTGTTCTCTCCTGGTTCTCCTCCTACCTTTCCCAATGCTCCTTCAGCATCACCTACAACACTGCCACCTCCCCCTCTCTGTCGACGTCCCCCTAGGCTCTGTCCTCGGACCCCTCTCCTCTTCTCCATCTATACCTCCTTCCTTGGCAAACTTATTCACTCCCACGGCTTCAATTACCACCTCTATGCCGACGACACCCAAATTTACCTCTCCACCCCCCACCTCACCCCCTCACTCTCCGCCCGCATCGTCCATCTCCTAAACGACATATCAGACTGGATGTCGCTCCATTTCCTCAAACTTAACCTAACAAAACTGAGCTCCTGGTCTTCCCCCCCACCCCGCGTCCCCCTCCATCCTCTCCATCACTACTAACAACGCCACCATCTCTCCCACCCCACACGCCAAAGTCCTGGGTGTCACCCTGGACTCCCACCTCTCCTTCCTACCCCACATCCAACTGCTATCTAGATCTTGCAGGCTCCACCTCTGCAACATCTCCAAGATACGCACATTCCTCACCCCAGACGCCACCAAACAACTCGTACACTCCCTCATCATCTCACACCTGGACTATTGCAATTCCCTTCTCACTGGCCTACCCAAACGAACGCTATCCCCACTCTAGTCGAACCTGAACTCAGCGGCTAGACTCATCCACCAACCGCTCCACATCCGCCTCCCCCCTCTGCCAATCCCTTCACTGGCTCCTGGTTGCCCAGCGCATCAAATTCAAACTGCTTACTCTCACCTACAAAGTCATTCACAACACCGCCTCAAACTACATAACCGACCTGATACCCAAATACTACCCTACCTGTGCCCTCCGCTCTTCACAGGACCTCCTACTCTCTAGCTCCCTGGTCTCCTCCTCCCACGCCTGATTGCAGGACTTCTCTAGGACTTCCCCCATCCTCTGAAACTCCCTACCCCAATCCATCAGACTGTCACCTACCCTCCTCACCTTCAGGCGCACCCTGAAAACCCTCCTCTTCAGGGAAGCCTACCCCAACCTCACCTAACAACTAACCTCCTCCACTCCTCCCACCACTCCATCCCCCACAGCCATTTCCTCCTGTACCACTTTCCCCTCCCTCCTAGATTGTAAGCTCGAAAGAGCAGGGCCCTCGAACCCCTCGTGTATTGTATTGTTACTGTCTTGTCTCATGTTCTGTCCCCCTTGCTACTGTACAGCGCTAAGCAAACCCTTTGGCGCTATATAAATACTGTATAATAATAATAAATAAAAAAGGTATCACGGATAATTGTTTCTGAGTCCCCCTGTAACTTTATCTGTCTTTTAACTTGTCGATCCTGCTATTATTCTTCAATTGCCTTCAACAAGTCAAACTGTGCAGCAAAAGTGGAAGTTGGAGGGTTAAGACAAACCATTTATTACTGGCTGGCCAGCTTTTATTCATTTGGTACAACTTTTATCCCTGTAGAAAAATAAACCGTTTCTGTAACTGCTTTAAAAGTCTTTCTTCCTTTCACATAAAATAGAGTTGAAGGGAGGAATCCCTGCGCCGGGACATTGTTTTTTTGACAGCAGCTCCTGCCGCTGTCAGAGTGCACTGATCAGTAGCTGCAGGAAATTGACTGCAGCCGCTGATCAACAGAAAATGTTTCAACATGTCCCTTTGACAGAAGTCAATTAATGGATACGTTCACATTTGGAAACATGTTACATGTTCCACCTGTTTATAGGGTGAAATATGTAACATGTTCCCACTTCTGCAGCCTCTCCCCGATTTCAGCTTCATTGTGACAGTGGGCTGAGGATTTTCTCCCTGCACCTGATGTCTCAATTTATAAAGAACGCAGCCACGTGGGGCTCCACCCACATGGCCGCATAATTCATTCACAGAGATCTGCGAATGCTACAAGTACTGACAGCCTTTGCGGCTGATGACTTGTAGTTCTCAATGAATTACCAGGGTGCTAGTGAGTGCCCTAGGTAGTTCATGGAGTCTTCCTGTCATTGTGTAACTGCCTGCCCATACGAGCAGACAATACACTGAGAGTCTGCAGAAGACTGACATTGCAGATCGCGGGTTCAATGCTTTACAGGATCCTATAATAATAATACATGCACTTTTTTTACCTGCAAAAAGAGTGCATTATTTAATTTTTTAGAAAGGTGAAATTATCCCTTAATCAACTTCTGAGGATGGGGGGGGGCATGCACTGTTTGAACTTCAAATATTTTTAGTTTTTTTATATTTTACAGAAACAATCTACAGATCCCATGAGCATCATAAGGCCCCATACACACTGGGTGTTTAGCCACAGCGCAAGGGGCACTGATGTTTGGATGCAGGTGAAGGGCACAGGTGCTCCTTATACTATCAAACTCTATGAGAGGCAGAAAGCTGCTGTGGCTGGAAAGGGCAATAGGAAGTCTTAGGGCAATATGCACCCAGGAACACCAAACACAGCACATAAAACCACATTAGCCCTGTCCAGTGACTATCCTGTTGCATCTTTTTACTATGACAGTATTGAAATCTTTGCACTTGCACCATGTCTCCACTTGCATCCAAATTCACTAGAAACAACTTGACCAGGAATTGGTAATAGTAATGAGGCTCCCTGGAGGCATGGGCTATAGAAGACACACTGAAAGTATATGGTGACATAAGACAGTATGATAACCAGAAGAGACAAAATACTTGTACAGACAGATTGACAGCAGAGGCAGATATGACACTGGATATGGGATACTCCAAGGACTTGGGAGGAAACAAGACTCAGGGAGCATGTTTCGGCAGAGATGAGAGCCTTGAGAAGGGTCAAGCAGCAGGGTTTAAGCAGCAGCCTGGTATTTACAAGAATACCCCACAAAGAGTGATTGACTTTCTGCTGATGGCTTCCACGTTGCGATCCTCTGACTTAGCAGAACACACAGCTACTGAACAGGAAGCAAGGTATACAAGATTGTAGAAGTGAGAATCTCTGAAACAGGCCCGGACTGAGACAAAAAATAGGCCCAGGCATTTTGGAGTGAGCAGCCCTAAAGCCCGGGACCCTTTCCTTGGAGCCCGATGGCGGAACACCAGGGCCTGGTCGCAGGGACGACCTTTGCGACCCTGGTAGTTCTGCTACTAGAGGCAGTAGGTTTTTATTTAATTTTTTACAATTTTATATTTTATTATTTTTTTATATTTTTTTGTAGGAGAGAAAGAAGAGAGAGGAGGAAGGAAAGAAAGAGAGAAGGAAGAAAAGAAAGAAAGGAGAGAAACAGGAGACAGAGGGAAAGAAAGAAGGGGGGAGAGAAAACACAAGTCTGGTAGGGATTGTGGGCGGGGCAAACAGGAGGAGGGGCAGAACCAGCTTTCTTTCTCCTCTCCCATCTGTGGTGGGGGGGAGGAACTGTCAGCACTGGGGATAGAATATGCTGACATGCTCTGCAGTAGCTGCAGGGTTGGGGGGGGGGGA